GAGCCTCTCCACAGTAATTCAGCTGTTTACTGATCCACGGTTTAACTGTGAACCAAAACTTCGCTGAAATCTGTCGTCCTGCCAACAAACAAACATAAGCAATACAAAAAAAACAGGAAAAAAACATTTAAACAAACAGATCTTCCTTGGAAGAGGTGAAACTGCCAGTTTGACTGCCAGCGTCACAGAAGAGATCATTTCATTTTTTATCAAAATCAGATGCAGAACACGGCAACTTCGCTACGAAGAAACACAGTGAGTCGGGTGATTAGACGGTTATCTTGTTCAGTGAGGGATTATTTACAGACAAATGTGGATGCACATGCACGTGGATGCACATGCACGTGGATGTTTCCGTTTCCCCATCAGATAAACTAACTCATCTGAGCTTTTTCACATCCAGGGCCGTAAAATTCTTACTTTTAACAAGTCTGCACGTTGCATTACAGTGTGGTTCATCTTAGGGAAAGATCGTAGTCACGGTTGATAAAAACACAGATGTCAATTACTGGTTTGTGATGGGGACGACTCTGTGATGGCTCTGCACCCATCCACCACCCTAACCTCCACACCCTTACTCTCTGCCTCTGGTAGCTGTGAAGGGTAAATCATTTACTGCTTTGGCATTGAACTGTGGTTGTGGCCGTAAATCGTGAGGTGCACAATCCTCCGACATCGGTGTAATCTGTAAAGGATACTTGTCTGGATTAAGTGGTTTAGAAAATCTGGTGTTTGCTGTCCGTCTGATTGATTGACAGCAGGTTTGTTGCTCTCAGCATGTTTCCTGATCTCAGTGAGAGTGTTGTCTTAACTCTGGTCAAAACTATGAAAATAAAACCCAAGTTTTAATAAACTGGAGTTATTCTTTAAGCAGGCGTATTAATTCCCTGGTATCGGTATGTTCCGTTTTAAAACTACCCCGTCACTGCCTGCACCCTGCCGGCCTGTGGACCTAAACCTGCTGACCCCTCTGTCTTGAATTTGCCTCACACGCCCCCCTCCTCCTCCCCTGTCCTCCGCTTCTCCGCCCTTTTCACCCTCCATTACTCCTCATCAAAACCAACAGGGGGTCTTATTAGAGGGCTGCAGCCACATCTGCACAATTGTCACCCTTTGTAAGTTAAATTAAAGACTCTCTGTCTGTTTCTCTGTCTGTCTGGCTCCCCCTCTCTCGCCCCAGCGGGCCGGCCTAATCAGGTAAATATTGAGGGGATTTGTTAGTTCATTGTGAGGTGGCTCGGGCCACCCCGATGCTAATTCTTCTGTATTCCTGCTGGGCTTCGACTCCCCTTTAAATGCAGCTGTGGTGAGCCACGGCGATGGAGATAATGACGGGTCGGGGAGGGAAAAAACTCTGTTTTCTTTGTCCCTGATGAGGCGTCATTTCCAATTTGACTCTGTGCAGCTGCCCTGGACGTGAGACTTCTGGAGAAGGAAATTCAATCCTAACACCGTCTGAGATTCAGACACAGCTCATTGCCTCTCATGTCAGTTTGTTAAACCACGTTCCAGAAATCTTAATGGATAAGGCCAATGTCATTCTGTATTTTTTATACTGTTGACAAATCCCTTGAAAAGATCAGAACCAACATTTATCATTATTATTAATACTTTCTGATTTCCCTTCCCTGCCTGTGACTCTCAGACGGCCATTTGTAAATTTTAATCTTTATAAATGTGCAGATATATACTTTCATTTTTTTTTTAAATTCCTTGATAATTTCTTTCAGCAGCTGGGCAGTGTAGTTTCAGGAAACGTTAACTCCAACAGAAGTAAATCGTGCATTGTTGGGGACTATTTTTAGCTGCGGATTAATCCACATTTGGTGTTCTACAGCCCTGAGAGCTCTGACAGCACCGGATGGTTCATTCATGGTGCCCAGAGGATGAATCCTCCGCACTCTGATGATCCAGTAACCTTTTCCTCTAGCGCCATCTTCAGGTCAACATTTTTAGTTTGTCCAAAGCTTTTGATTTATGACCAAAGAGCTGCAAAACTATCATTTTCCCATCAGCCTCAGTTGTACTTTAATTAGTAAGTGATATCATGCTAACATGCTTGTAAACATTTCACCTGCTTCACATCAGCATGTTAGCGCCGTCATGTTGATCCTGTTAGCATGCTGATGTTAGCATTTACCTCAAAGGAAACACAGAGTCGACTCTCAGCTCGACGGCTGAGAGGCACAAGATGCATCAGGCCGTAGATACACTGGTAATACTTGTTGGTGCAGCTCAGCTGAGTAGTCGGGTTTTGTTTTTCTCATTTCTTTACAATTACAACCCGACCAGAACATCCACCTCAGACCGCTGTGTTTTCCTCCTAATGTCAGTTGCACAACCCTGAAAGCAGAGACACGATTCAGCTGGAGGCGCTTGGCAAAGTGCAGGAGGGAAGAGGAGGAGGAAGGAGGGACGAGGGAGGGAGGGAGAGGAAAGATGGGGAGGTAAAGAGCCGGTGAACAAGAAAAAGAGATTTTCAAGAAGACACAGCAGCAGGAGCGAAGAAACAAGAGAGGAAGAAAAGAAAAGAAAAGAAATGGCCGCTAAAACACGACGACTGTGTCCCCTGTGGACGGCTGCTCGAGGGTGCGTGCGTGCGTGTGATGGAATGACATGTCAGCGCCGCATCTGCTGCGTTTGCCGCTCAGCTGGGTCGCCATGACGACCAGCACATCCTCACTCGCTCGCCCTCCTTCCTTTTATGCATCTCCCTCTCTCTATTTGCATCCCTCCCCCACCCTCGTCCCTCCACCCGACCCTGACTTACATAAACCTCTTCTTTGTACGAAACGAGCAGAAACGCTCCGAGGTTGAGTGCATCGAAGTCTCCTTGAAAATGTGATATTAGGCTTCAACGCTCTCTCTCTCTCTCTTTTTCTCACTTTCTCACATACTCTCAAAATGCCTCCTGGCTTGTTGCCAGCGTTTCCCTTCAGCTGGCAAAATAAAAGCGTCAAGGATTCAGGAAGGATACAGGAAGTCGACGGGTGAAAGGAGCCTGCTCAGCATGGAGAGAGCGTAGCAGGAGCGGCCGTACATCCCCACACCTCCATTCATTTAGTACTCCTTCATCTGTGTGTGTGTGTGTGTGTGTGTGTGTGTGCATTTTATTAGGAACACCTGTACACCTGCTGATTCATGCAATTACCTAATCACCAAATATGTACTTAAAGGCATAGTTTTACATTTTTGGAAACAGTTATTTGCTTCCTTGTTTAGATTTGGATGAGAAGAAGGAGATGATTAGCTTAGCTTAGCATAAGACACAGAAACCATAGACTGTATATAGCGTTGGACGTCGCCTCCTGTGACATCACCTATAGATTCGTGAAGCGCGGTTGTTGGTTTCTGAAGCGCGGCAGCGATAAAAGGGCCGAGAGGTGGTGTGTCTGTGGAGCCGAGACTTCGGAGCATGTCTGGTTTGTGGCGCGTATACGCTCACCCACCTGTCACTCAAAGTGGCCACACCCTCTATTATGCATAACAGGGAAGTTGTATAAAAATTCAGTCTAAACGTGTTTATTTCTGCTGTAAAGTTGGACATTTTAACACGGGAGTCTGTGGGGATTGACTCACCGTGGTCATTGGAGGAACTGCAGTTTTTAGTACTTCAGAAGTTGCAGCGTGATGAAAACGGGGAAACACCCTGGCTCCGTCCAAAGTTTAAAAACACCTACCAACACCCCCAAAGCTGAATTTACATGTATCTTGTTTAATTATAGTAGTACACAAACATTTAGTCATTTTAGAGTGAGTTACCTGCTGTAAGTGAACAGTTCATCGGTCTACACAGCATCTCTGCTGCTTGCCTGCAACCTCCCAGTAAAGACAAAACTCACTACACCTGTGTTTGAGCTTTAGGTGTTGATAGCAGTTTATTTGAAATGTGCATCCCCCTGTTATTGTGCTATAAGCTAAGCTACAGTAGACGCCTGCTGGATCTAGCTCCTGGTGTCAATCTTCTCATCTGACTCAGCGAGAAAGCAAATAAATGTATCTCCCAAAATGTAAAGCTTTGCCTTTCATTCACACACAGCTTATCTAAATCAGCAAAACTCATTTCATCCATAAATCCAGACTGATACTGTAAATCTTTGCTGTATTTTTAATGGAAACAAACAGTCGCTCGGCAGCGTTATGGTTTCATGAAGTGGTGAAATAGGTTTGATATTTTACACTGCCAAACAGTCTGTAGACAAAGCCATCTGCCTGTCGTTTATGTCCCCGGGCGGACGCCGCACTCTGCCAAACGGCTACGCAGGGAGTCTGGGACTCAGATGGCGGCTGTGTGTGTGTGTGTGTGTTTGTGTGTGTGTGTCCACATATGTGCCCATAATGTACATCCACACATGGATGCCCATATGCAATGTGTTAGATCTTATAAGAGCAAATGTCTTTTATGACTGGGTGTGTGTGTGTGTGTGTGTGTGTGTGTGTGTGTGTGTGTTTACAGCCTGAAAATTGCCCCAGGCTCTTTTTTTTTGTTTTTTTCACTTTCTATTTTCAGACACAAAGTGATGACATTATCCTTTCTGAGCGAAGCGCCTGGCGTCGATTACTTCACAATAACACTAAAGAATTATGTAACACGCAACATGTTGTGAAACATCTGAAGCTTTTTTTCAGAGCCACGTATGAAGAGCTTCAGATTCCACAGTTGAAGATAATCGGGAACAGAGAGGAATCCTGAACATCCATGATCAGACCAAATTAGAAAAGGGAGGCATTCAAAGCGTGTTGTCATGTTCAATGCTGCTCACACACTGAAGAATGCTTACACACGATTCAGTCTGAGCATCGTAAAGGTTCATTAAGATGTGCTTTAACATCACTAACCAATTCCCTTGTTTCTCTCTCTGATTCCTTCCCTTCCTACCTGTCTGCCCACCCCTCTTACCTTTTCATTCTTCCTCCCTCCTTCTCTCTTCCTTTCCTTCCTCATGACTCCACACCCCCCCCGTTTCCTCTACATCCTCTTCCTCCTCCTCCTTCCTCAGGTGTAACGTCCAGGACTACATCTGGCACAAGGGTGCTCGCTGCGAGTCGGTGGTGACCGAGTTCCAGGTGATGTGTCTGGCCGTGGGCGCCTCGGCTCTGGTGGTCCTGCTGCTCTTCATGATCGTCGTCTGCTTCGCCAAGAAGCTCCATGTGCTCAAGACGGAGAACAAGAAGCTGCGCAAGCGCAGGTGAGAGTCAGCGAAGGGTCTGAGCCGAGTGACAGCATCATTCAAAAACCGGACGGAGTTGATCCGCGCGTCTTTTTTTTTTTCCTGCCCCAGTTTGGAGGCAGGATTCAGCTCAAATTCATAAAGAAATATTTACAGTTGTTATTAGTCATTATTAGAAAGTGACATTATTATTCGTCACTTTCTTTTCTCGGGCTATACCTCACTCCTTAGATTTATTTTCAGTGATGCTAACAAGGAAAAAAGGAAGATGTAAGACCTTTTCTTCCTCAAGTAGCAAGTTGCTGGTGAAGTGAAACTACATCTGTCAAGATTTCCTTTTTGAGCGTCCTGCAGGCTCCACACTCGTCTTTGAATCAATAGTGAACTCATTTGTCTTAATTTAAGTCTTAGCTCAATCAAACTAAACTAAAAAGTCTTTAGCACCTTGCTCAAAGGCACTGTGGCACAGCAGGATTATTACCAGATTCTGAGTCTCGGCTGCGGAACATTACCCCCCATCAATTTTAAAGACGGAAGCAGAAAGCTCGGGCTCTGCGGCCCCGGCGCTGCCTCGGGGGCCAAACTGTGTTCAGTGTGAAGTTTAGAGAACGACAGAGACAGACGGATCGATAAAGAGAGAGAGAGAGAGAGCGCAGAGAGGGGGAAGGAAATTTGTTAGAAATAAAAATCTGAAGCAGACAGAATCAACAGCTTTAAGCCCTCGTTGAAATTCAGTCGATACGTCAGTGGTGTCGAGAAAAAACTCAGAGACAGAAAAGAGTCCTGAAGTTTAGAGGTGTAAATAGAAAAAGAACATGACACATACAAGCGTTAAATTCAACTGATCCAAATGATCAACAGGAATCCATGCTTCTCTTCCAAAAAAAAAGACAGTATAGTCTCCATGGTTAAAGAAACACGAACCCCGCCTACACGTAACGATACCGCGGCGCCGCAGATCTTCGGGTGGCCCCGGGTGGCCCGGGGTGGCCCCGGGTGGCAGGTTGCTGATGGGGCTGGTCGTCGGGGCCGGATGTTTGTGGAGAACCTGCTGCTAAAACACCTGCAGACGACCTGATTCTGGGTCGGAGGTTTCGTATGTAGCAGTGCAGCTCCCTCGCTGCAATCGTTGAATGTCAAGCTTTTGTTTTAAATGGAGAATAAAAAAATTAAAAAAATTTTAGAAAAGAAAGGAATATCAAATAAAAAAAAAACACATTATTATTGACTGTGCTGAGAGCTCATTTTAACCTGTTTGAGCAAATGACAGAAGCTGTTGTTTTTTCTTTCCTATTAAATAGTCTGTTGCTATGTAGTAGCTGCTTAGAGGTGAGGAAATGAGGCTGGGAGATGGGCAGAAAACAAACAGGCGATGACCGCGGCAGAGCTGAAACCACTGACAGGAAGCAGCCTGAATGCCTTTTGTAAAATGTCAGGAGCTGACAGCAGAGTAAGAGCCGTGTTATAAAAAAAAAGAGGACGCTTGAGATTCAGCGGAAACATGAAAAGAAGAAGAAAAGCGTGAGGAGTAAACAACAGCATGTGTCCTTCACAGGAGCCGAGACGAGGCTTTAGCGTCCTGAACACAGGAACCGCTTTCCACCAGCAACTTCTCAAAGTTGTCTAACGCTTCTTGAAAGAATGACGGAAGCGAAACACGCTCGCCGCCTTGCTCAAGGACACGACGACAGGGATCGAACCCGTTACTGATCAGCTGCAGCACAGACAGACTTTACAACCACAACAGGAACAGAGATTTTGAGTTTGTCTGCACCAGTTTTTTCTCCTCACATGAATAAAAAGGCTCAAAAAGCCTGTGAAATCATTTTATTTTAATATTTTTATTCTTTTCTTTTTTTAAATCTTGTTTCATTGATCTAAAACATAGATGTTTTGTTGCTATAGTGACTGTTTCCTCCTGGTCAATGAACCAAAGTCATTACACAAATACAAGCAGAAGCATCAGGTTGTGAAGGTGATGCTGCACTTTGAATCATGTCAGAATCAGAATCACATTCTCGTTACGGCGCTAAGCGTCAAATTTTCATAAAAAAGAAATTAAAAACACAGTGATTTTTTTTTTTTTAAGAAACCCAGAAGCTGATTTAACAACTTTCCAATGTCTTCGATGTATTTCCAGTATCCTCTAAGACTGTTATCCAATCTGCATGAAAAATATTCTGTCTGCTGCACGACAGGAAACATTTTTAAGATTTTTCTTCTTATATAAACAGAGACGGTTTTCCAGAAACGACACAGCTCCTTGTTCAGCTTGTACGATGTGAACCACAATCAAAAATGTAAATAGATTGAATTGAGATTTGATCGAGTCTTTGAAGATTCTTCTTCGGATTTTATCCAGTCCGCTGTCGTAGAGCTGCCAGTCAAACGAAATGGCAAAGAGTGGAGGTGAGAAAATAAAAGAGAAGATAGAGAAGGAGGACAATAAGGAACAAGAGGATGAGGAGGGCACGTGAGACAGATTGGGGGGGTAGAGACAAGGACAGTCTGATGGAGGTGGGGGGGTCGGATGTTTTTGTCCGTAGTGAGGAAGACCATGAAGGAATGCAGGAGGAGATGAAGGGGGGGGGGGGGCTGATGTTGAGCAGCCGGCGGAAAACCAGATGACAAGACAGATGAGGGAGACGGCGGGAAGACCGGTGTTCACTGAGGGAATTACAAAAGGTTCAGTGAAGAAGCAGGAGAAGATTCTTCAGGGTTTTACAGCATCGTGAGATTTAACATTGAGGATATTTATCACAGCATCAAGCTCCGCTGCTTTTATTATAACATATAGTGCTATAAAAACCTTTCGCAACGGTTCTCTAAACCCTAAATGGTTCTGTGACGAACATTAATGTTGCAGTGGGGAAAAAATACAAAAGATTTAAAGGTGTTCAATGTCAGAAAATCAAGATAGAAGAGAGAAAAAGACTTCCTCTCGTCATAATGTTTTTATACTGACAACTTATAAAATGGTGTGAAGGTCGCCTGTGGTGATGAACAGAAATTTACTCACCGGAGACACGGTGAGCTGCTGGAAGCGTCGGAGCCTCCGTGTTTTTGAAACTTAATCTCAGGGCTGCAGCTCACTCTTTCACCCCGAGCACGTTTGTGTTTGTGGTGTAACAGCACCGCAGCCTGTTCACAGTGTTTGTGAAGGATAAATGCTAAATGATAAATACCTGCGTCTGCATATTTTGCAGTGTAACTTTAGAGGAAACAACAACAACTACCTCCAAATATTAATTACTGTCTGTTTCTCTTAGATTTATCTTTTTGCTCATCTTTGTGAAATATGGAATAAGATTATTCTTTCAGGCCTCAAATGATCGTCAATAAGATTGAAAACTATTTATAGGGTAAGATACTCTAATATTATCAAATGCGTCTTCGAATCAAAACATGCTACGTCGAAACCCGAACCACAGAACCATTAAAGAACCCTGAAGAACCCTCCTTTCGCAGCGGGCTGTTAGAGGGAGGCGGGTTGAATATAAACTGAAGGAGAGAACGAGAGTGACAGGCAGATTGAAGGGCTGGATTGAATATAAAAAAGGGTGGTGGGGGTGAGCGGGTTCGGTATTGCTTTGCCAGTGCCGGTGTTTTAGCAGCAATCTCCCTAGCAACAGAGCCGTTGTGGAGCAGCAGCAGCAGCAGCAGCAGCAGCAGCAGCCCGGCGATCGAGCGCCGCGGATGCAAATGTGAACCAAAGGACCAAATCTGCAACACCAGAGTCCCTCGCTGCAGGCTCTATTTATTTTTACCTCGACAGGAGGAAGGTTATCAAGGCTGGTGGCGGTGGAGGAGATTATGGAGGATGAAGATGATGGTGAGGAGGAAAAGTGGTGGAGTCAGTAGCAGCTGTAATGCTAGCAAGCAGAAATTTAAAAAAAAAAAAAAAAAGGGAGAAAAAGGGTGATGTCATTGGTACTCTGGATCCAGCTGAAAGTAGGGCAGTCTGAACAGGAGAGGGGGGAGGGAGGGAGAAACGGGGAGGCGGGGTTGACCTACATACAGCTGTGCAACCTGAGGGGCGTGTGTTTGTGTGTGTGTGTGTGTATGTGTGTGTGTGTGTGTGTGTGTAGTGGCACAGTACAGCATGAAAGAGACACACAACCTCATCAAGTGGTCGGCAAAAAAGTGAGGGGGGGTGACAGATAAGAGGAGTAAAAAGGAGGGCAGGATGAAATGGGGGAGAAGGGGGGAGTGAAGGAGAAACTTGAAGGAGGGAGGGAAAGAGAAAGTGAAAGAAGGAGGAATGAGAGAGGGTGGCTTCAGAGAAAAAAGCTCAGCATGACACATTCAGAGATGTGTGTGTGTGTGTGTGTGTGTGTGTGTGTGTGTGTGTGTGTGTGTGTGTGTGTGTGTGTGTGCACTGCTGACAAGGCTCATGAATACATGAGACTCCCACACTCCCCCATCTGCTGTGGGTAATTGCAGTCGCAGTGTTTCTCTGCCGCAGTCGAGATCAGACCCAACATCCCGGTCAAAGATGGAGAGAGAAAAACAGAGAGAGAGAGACTGAAGGAGGGAGAGAGGGAAGAGAAGATGGATGCATCCTCGTTGTGAGACGTTTCAGAATCTGTTTCACGGCTGGCGTCGTTTTCAGCTCCGCCGCGATAGACCGTGTCCGATCATTTCTGGCAATTAAAACACAGTGAATCATAATGTGATGATAACAGGCTGATGAACTACTCACCTGATGCACAGTGTTTGTGCAGGTTGGTTTGACCTGGACCTGATGTGTATCAGTGCATTTGAACAGTGATCAATCATCCAATCAAACTTGATTTGTATAGACAGACTTGTGATTCACAAAATGTAAAGTACAAATGCAAAGAGTAAAGCAAGAGATGAAAATGATAAGAAAAAAATAGATAAAAGATGAAAATAAATAGAAAAGATAAAAGGGAATAAAAACATTTACAAACTCAAATAAATACAATGAATCGTGGACTGCTTTGCATAAGACAAAATTGAACACAGTGAAAGAGAATGTTGGAATTGAACTGAACGAAATCATTAAAATCATTGATGATTCATGATTTCCACCTTGAATCCTAAAAAAAAAAAACAACAACAAAATATGTTTCCTGTCCGCTCCCTCTATAGCAACACATACAAGCGTTTTCTGATCTGGGAACACGAATGAACTTGGTGAGGTTAAAGGAAATGTGACCTGTGTCATCACGGTCACAATAATAACCACGAGGAAACACAACAGCATCGACAGCATCAGTCGTTTCTGCAGGTAACCCGTTCAAGTGACGAAGCTGTCTAGCACCCTGACCTCAACCAGGTGTTTTGTTATTGTAACCATGGCAACTAAGGTCTCCTAACCCGAGCCAAGTGGTAATTTTAACCTAAAACATGTCCTGCAGATACGGGGCATCGTATCAGAAAAACTCTTGTATGGGACAAACAATGTATTTTGTTGTTTAATTTGGAGGCACCACTCTCTTACCCGTACTCCGCCAGGAGTCGGCTAACTTAGCTTAGCACAAAGATTGAAAACAGCTGGTCTGGCTCTGCCCGCAGGTAACAAGAAACACCTTTCAGCACCTCTAAAACTCACAGATTAACACTTTATGCTTTAGTCTCTTGGTAGTGACGGGTCCAAAGCTGGTTCCTGGTGCTAGAGTCGTAGCAGATGTCACTGTCTGTCTCTGTCTCTGTCTCTGTGTTGCCGCTGTCTCGTCTTTGATTGTCCTGTCACTGTGTTTGTGGAATATAAGGAAGTCTGCATGTGGATCAGAGACGGGCAGGAAATAGATCACAGCCTCTTTAACTGTAGATATGACGAGGGATTGGACGCTGAGACATGGAAACGCAGCGACACGTTTGACGCGAAGGTTCATGGGGGGGGGGGCAAATGACAGGCGTTTCATATATGAGAGGGAAGACTTGTGAGAGAAGGGGAGACAAATCTGTGACACTCTTGTCAATGTTATCGTCTCATTGGATCCCTGAGAGAAACATCTCGTCCCTTTGAGGAGTCGGAGACGAAGAAGAAAGAGGACGAAAATTCAAAGAGTTCACTTTAATTCAGTCAGAAGGGAACTCCCGAAGTTTGCCGCCTCCCCCGACGAGATGAAAAGAAACTGTGTGTGTTTATCTGCGTCTGTTTTTAAAGTAGTACGCCAAGTTTTCAGGAGACCGTCCCATTGATCAGATTAGATTGAGAACGACAGAAGCACAAAAGCCGAACTCATCCCCAGTGCGTCACCGCGTTGAGCAGAACATCTCGCAAACACAACGTCGTTTCTTCTCCTGAAGATTAAACATTTCACAGAGTGAGAACAATAGCTGGCAGGAAGCAGGAAGCAGGAAGCAGGAAGCCTAAACCTGATGCTTAAAAATGAAATATTTTGTTCTTAGTTTGTTGCATCACAGATAAAATGTTTGTGTGTCTGTTTTTTATTCTGTTTGTCAAGTCACAAACAGAAGACGTAGACCTGCTGTCAAACTAATGCTGCTTTCTTGCTTTTTTCTCCCCCCTTCCTTTTTTTTTCCTCTGACGATCCCTTCTTCCCTCTGTTCAACAATATAATCTTTTCCTTAAATTTGTCCCTTTCCTCGCCCTGTTTCCTCCTCTTGTTTCACCATCTCTCCATTTGTGTTTTTCCATTTCTTTATCTTTGTCCTTTTCTTTCCTGCTTCTCTCACCTCGCGGATAATCACCTGCAAATGTCATTTCACCCCCCGTCTTTTCCTGACACTTCATTATTCTTCTTCCTCCTCCTGGATCTTCTTCAAATCCTCAAACTGCCTCACGCTCTCCCAACCTTTCCAACCTTTTTTTCTTTCCATCATCCGACCCCTCTTCTTCTTCTTCTTCTTCTTCTCTGTCTCCCTTGGTGATCATGTGCATCTCCTAAATGTCCAATACGTTTCCTTTTCCCCTCCTACTCCCCTGCGGCGCTCTAAATCTCCTAATTCCCTTCATCCGTTCTCTGGGCTTCCTCCTCCTCTTCCTCCACATCTCCTCGCTCCTCTTTTTTTAACCTCCCCTCCTCCTCCTCCTCCTCCTCTCTTCACCCTTTTCCTTCCTTTCCTCCTCCTTCTTCACCTCCCTACAACCTCTATTCCTTTCCACCTCACCTCGTCTCCAACTCTTTCATCCTTTCACTCAAACTTTTCTCCCTTCTACTTCCTCACCGCACCACATCTATTTTCCTCCACCTCCTCTCCTCCTTCTTCTCCTCCCCCCACCCCCACCCCCTCCTCCCCCCTCCATCCTCCGACACCCAGCAGTAAGTACCGGCCTTCATCGGAGCAGCACAATGATAATTTCTCGCTGTCCACCATCGCTGAGGGCTCCCACCCAAATGTAAGGAAACTGTGCGACACCCCTCCTAACGTCCCTCATGCCCGTGCATTGGCTTACTATGATAACATTATCTGTCAGGTAACGTGGTTCTCGCCTCTCTCTCTCACCCCTTTTTCTGCATCCCCCGCCCCCCCAATCCCTGCCCGGGCTCCCTGACTCTCCCTCTAATGCATGGGCATGAGTATTCCTCCGATACTCCGAGGTGTGAAGCGCTAAAGGAGGGGGATGGGCGAGGTCGGAGCGCGGGGATGGACAGTGGGAGTTTTCTCAAGTGGCGGGACGGGAGGAACACACACACTCGCACACTGTAGATGCACGTCATCGTCTGACCGTCGTGGGTTTGTTCCATAAAAAACTATATATATATACTGTATATATATATCAACCTATAGAGGATGTTGCTGTATTTTCATTTAAAGGGTTCGACCAGTGGGTTTTGATGTTGTAGCCAGTTTATCACAAACTAATATTTTACATCACAGCTAACCATTTAGCAAAAAGTAAATGCACCTTTTTCTGCAGCTCCATTAATCAGAGGGGTGTGAGCTATTTAACGGGGACGGGAAAGAAGAAAAAGATCATTTTCTACCGCTCAAATTTCTCTAATCTTTTGTTTCTTCTTGTAAAATTCTGTCTAGTTTTACCTCTAACACTTATTTAGATGAAACAGTCTAATGGATGATCTCAGACTCTCACAGCCCTTCAACATATTGAACATGTGACCAGCTCTTGGAGGCAGACACCACTTCATTTTATAGGCTTACCGGCCAAAAAGGTCGGAAACCACTTGATTTCACCACTCAAACAATGAATTAGGAGTCTGGTAATTGATTTTCATATGGTATGGAAATGGGTGGAATTGAGAGGCTGCCTGGAAGGGTCGGAAAAATGTTCTGACAAAAACTAAACTGCAATTTAAAATAGTAAAAAACATAATGCCGACACAATGGTCTGACCGTTAGGTGGACTCCGTAAGAGAAAATGAGTTTTACATGTTGCTGAAAAGTTCTTAATGAGCTTTTTAAAATATATTTGTATGATCATAATTTAGTGAGAAAGGTAAAAAAAGAATGAGCTCATATTTATTTACCGTTGGAAAAAATAAAAACGTTAAATAACAAAAATCACTCTCACGACCCTCAACGATACCCACCATGTTCCCTGGCAGGTGGTTAGACTCGCGCTGTGATGGCTCATAGAGACAAGTTCCTTGGGAGCGACTGGGCCCTTGCAGCCTGTTACCATGGCAACGTGACGGCTGTGGAGCCTCATAGTTAAATCGTGTTTATTGATTTAGTTTCCTGGTTTATTGCTTATTGATCCCGTTATGAAGGTGATGGCACTCACACACACACACACACACACAGACACACACACACACACACACACACACACACACACACACACACACACAAGAGATGACAAAAAAAGTCAAATGAGCTCAGGTTCTGTGGAGCTGCTGTAGAAACCTTGTTGTTTTTAACCACTTAAAAGTGAAAAAATGAAGTCTTAATTTAAAGTCTTGATTTAAAGGACGTTAAACAACATCACAATAATTTATTTTGACACTTAGTTGCTGACAAAGAGCAGATGCAGCATAAATCAGCTCAGTGGGTGAATCAGGGCACTAACACAGCCGGGGGTTAGAGGCTAAATTCCCCCTGACGCCGACTGTCGTCACAGCGCTGGTAGCAACCTGCCCTGGCTTTAACCTGACCTCTTCGAGAGAAAACTCCCACAGTCCTTTGCTGCGAGCCCCTCCCCACCCCGTCTCTTTCTAACCTGCTCTCTCTGATCACCTCTTGCATCGGTATGTCATGGCATGTCTGCTCTTTCGGTAACATGCACCACCCGGTGGCCGTGTGCGCCACTGCAGCTCTGCTTTGCTGTCTGTTTACCAAACCTGTACTTTTAACAACATGTTCTGCTTTTACTTGTTTATCCTGAAAATGGGGGGGGGGGGCTGTTACGACTGGTCAAAAATGGTGGTTTTCTCGGGACGGGGGAGGTGGGGCAGGATTGATATCGCAACCAGGTAAGCTAAAGGTGTGTGGGGGAGACTTTTGAGAAACGGTCGGGGCGATCAGGATAAACATCTGAGATGCAACGCCTCGCTGCTGCCTGCAGGTGGCAGCAGAGAGCCCACAGGTGCCTCACTAACTGAAGCATGGGTAGCTAGTAGCGGCAACGCTGTGGTTGTAGCAGCATGGGTAGTGCTAGTGCTACAACTGAGGAAGAGTTTGTTTTGTTTTCATTTGTATTTGATATTTCAGTCTCTTGCAGATGTGGTACCACCCTCTAACAACTCCATCAGTAGTTTTTTTTGTTACAGCAACTAGTTCTTTGTCTGTAACTCTCTTTTTTGTCTCCATGCTAGCCAAACAGTTTTAGACATCTTGTTTCTTTAGAGGAGAAGCTTCTCATCTACCTATTGTAACTACAACCTAATATCATTTTCACCACCCTGACAGACGAGAAATCACAAAACAGTAGTAAAAAAAAACAAACAAACATACGTCATCACCTCCTAACAACATCTGAGAAATCTTAACTTCCTAACTCAATACCACACACATATCACGACCCCTAAAATCCCTGCTCATCCACTGGAGTGAATAGTATTTGTAAATATTTCAAATGCTTTGTTTTTAGCGCGCTTAAAGGTTCCGTGTGGAGTTTCTTACCACAAGTGATGCTATGGATAGATTCAATAAGGTCTTTAAAAAGGATTTAGATTTGATAAACGGATTAGATGCCGGATTCAAATTCAGGAAAATGGTGTTGAAATCCAACCCTGTAAATGAGTTAAGTCAGTTTGAAGAAAGTGTTTTTCTCCTATGGTCCAGATGTGACTTACTCCCCCCCCTCTACATCCATTCAGCCTGAAGCAAACATCACAGAAACATTTCCAACTACTATTCAACCCAGGTTTATATTTCTAACACATTTTCCAACCACATACAAAACCCATCCAGACATATGGGCTTCCCCAAACCGAAAACCAAACCAGCTCACCAGCTTTCCCCAAATACACCTGAAATACACTCACTAATAAAGCAAATAACCTCAACTCCCTTCCAAACTAACAGCCCAGCGTCTGTGGCGCTACGGTCCAGAGCCTCACCAGAAATATCCAAAGCTGTATTTACTGGTAATGCAGAATAACAGACAGGCAGCACCAGAGAGCCGGTGTTACCTCAGCGATACTGTAGCCAGCTGGGAATATCAGCTGTCGTCTGAAAGGAAGTCTCTCTATGCCTCTATCTCTTCCTGTCTGCCTTTTCTTTCTCGCTCTCCATCTTTCTTGCTACTTAATCTCTCTGTATCGTCTCCTCTCACACTCATCCTCTTTCTCTCCGTCCACTCGGATCAGTCTCTCCTCATCCTCTGTCCTTCCCTGTCCGTCTCGATCTTGTCTTTCTCTGAGGATGCCTTGAGTGCTTTTTTGAGGAGTATAACCCTTTGCCCCATCCCCCTCCCCTCAGAAAACCATGAGCAGATACACCTGGGAGTGTAAGACCAAAGAGGAGTCCGACTGTGAGGTAAGACCAAAATCCCAAATGTCAGATGCAGTAGTCCCGCCCCACCTCTCTCACCCTCCCAAACAGCTCTCTCATTGTTACTGTGGCCCTGTCAGTCACCCTCTCTCAAGGTTTCAGTGGACCAATCCAAGTCTGTACCCCCACCCGCCAAATAAATACAAACAAAAAACTATGTCCTGCAGTCATGATCAGACAGGGAGACACCACAGATTCTGCACTCGTTTCTTCATTCAACTTGTGAAATCAGATTTTCCAACACGCAGCGAGTGTCTATTGAAAAACAAATCTACTGATATGTTATTAAAAAAGAGAATAAACTATGAGCTCCGTCAATGTTCATGAGGATGTAAATATCAGCTGATGCTTCCTGCATTAACACACTTTACTTTATTCCTCCATTTATCGGGGACAACACATGAATTATTAATTATTATTAGTATGAAGTTAATGTGTTGATGTGTGAAGATTTAAAAGGTCGCTTCTTACACAAGGGGTCACGGTGCCCCTGGGCTTCACCTGCTGAAAGTCACAGGAAGAAACACAAGAACCACAAAGGGCGTCTTGCTCCTGGGGTGGGGGGGGGCTTTTACATGTCTGTGCCTTGGGGGCGTGTTGTCTCATAATCCATCCATGCAGATAAGACATACAAAACTAGTACAAAACAATATCAAAGCGCATCGGTAAAGATGCAGCATCAAAATAACACGTAGCGTAAGTTATTACCTCTGCTGTGATTCCCATGATGTTTACACTCAGTCCACAGTTAAAACTGAGGTCAGCCTTTAAGAGGCTGTGAAAATATGTCACGTTAAGTAGCATTAAACTATGATGGCACTTTTGTTTATGTCTGGATCACAGGTGTATTTAGTATTTGCCTCATGGTGACACCTGAGTCTTGTGAAATCGAGGTAATGCTATTAGCAACAACAGAGCTGTGGGATTTCAAAGGTCAGGAACTGACGGCAGAAACTCAACTAAAAGAAAATAAAGACATATAATTATAAGATATTGTTTTACAAGTGGGAAGTTGGTAAGTTTAGTGTTTGCAGTGCAACATGTCATGTAAACACCCCCCCCCCCCCCCCGTCCGCCCGCAGAGACAAAAATCATAAAAATTGTGTGAAATTGCCTTTTAACACCCGGTGAAGCTGCAGAGCCTGGAGGCAAAAATCCAAAAACCAATCACAAACAGAAATGAAAACTGCATTGGTCCTGCTGCAGAAATTTATTGACCTTGTGAGGACCTTGTAACACCAGACCAGACAGCAGTCACACACACACACACACACACACACACACACACACACACACACACACACTGAGGGCTTGTAATAGAAGAAGTTAACCCCTTTTGAAAACGCTGAATTTACAGAGAAATTGAACCACATACAAACACAAGAAAAATAAAACACATGTACCCAGACATTTTACATACACACACACACACACACACCGTCCAATCATTTCTGCACAATAACACAAAAAGCTCTTATGTTTCCCTGCAGTAATAGAACGCTTTGTGTTTCATTCACTGCAGTAGATTGAACCTGCTTGTCCTCAATCTTCCCTCCTCAGTAATTCTGCAGAGTCCAGCCGCGCTCTTTCCTCTGCAGCAAACGGTGAAATGGAATTGTGTGTTTTCTTTTTTCTTTTTTTTCTCATCAATACTAAATAAATTCAACACAGAAAATGAATTGGTCAGGCAGAGCTGGCTGTAATGTCCAAGAGGATTTCATTTCCATCGACTGAATCGCCTCTCAGGCTGACTGATCAAAACCGAACTGACACTGAAGAACAGAAGCTGCAGGCACGCAGCGCAATTGTACGACAAAACTTAAAATTTTGTCCGTCTTTGTTATTAAATAATAATAAAAAAGAAGTTATATATTAAAAAACATCTACAAATAGGGATTTTAAAAAGATTAATATGTTGTAGGGGATTTTTCCCATCTGCTATAAATTCCATAAACTTCTGTGATGTCGCGTAAAACTATTCAGCAAAAGCACATTAGCACACAAGCAGCAAAAGGACATTAGGAACTGTCCATGTGCCTCCATCATCATCGTCATCGTCATCATCATCAGAACCCTGTTTATATCTGTTCCCGCTCCCCCCAAAATGACACCTATAAAGTCCTCGTGACTCTGTGCCTCCCACCCACTGCCCGCCTCCCCTCCACCCATAGCACAACAACAATGAAATCCAACAAACAAACAAAACACATTTTCCAGTTTCACGCTGACGGGAGGACAGAGGGCCCCTATCCCGTAACCATGGAAGTGACGTATCCACACGTCCTGCCTGAAGTTACTATCTAGGCCAACGGCCAGCGGGTAAATGTTCTCACTGCTCTTCCTTTTCTAAAAGTGCCATTGAATTCAAACGCAAACATTCAATTAGGGTGTGTTTGTAAATGGCACAGGCCTCAGGGTCTGGAGTTTGATGTGTGTGTGTGTGTGTGTGTATGTGTGTCAGTCAACCTGTGTGTCTGAATGACTGTGTGTGTCACCACGCTCAAGCTTGTGTGTCTGTCTGTGTGTGTGTGTGTGTGTGTCAGTCAACCTGTGTGTCTGAATGACTGTGTGTCTCACCACGCTCAAGCTTGTGTGTCTGTCTGTGTGTGTCTGTCTGTGTGTGTGTGTGTGTGTGTGTGTGTGTGTGTTTGTGGGTGGGTGCGCTGTGGACAAAGAGGCGCAGACGGACGCCCCAGGATGCCTCGGCGCAGCAGGGTCGATGATGCCATGCAATATTAATGGGGATAAGAGGCTGGAAAACAGACTCTGCAATCAATGTTTTCCCCCTGACCTTAATTAAATTCAGATGACTTAAACTGAAACCTCAAAAACACATTGTTTTTTTCCCTCCAGCGACTGTTTGGGTATGTATGACGGTGGTACCCACAGATAATTGGCCAGGGTGGACAGATCATTTGTGGCCGGTTTTCTTTTTTATTTTGTTTTGGGACAATAAATGGTAAAAAAAAAAAAAAAAAAATGGAGGTGAAGCAGGAGGAGATATGGCATCCTGCATGAGCGACTACATGGGGTGTGTTTGGAAGGGTCTTGCATGTGGATGTGCATGTGCTGCCATGGGTTCGCTTGAAAGGGGAGGGGCGGTGTCGCTCATGCAGTTCACCTCATTGTCTCCTCAACCAAACACAACATGCCAGCCGAGCATGATGATTATCAAACAGTGGAGCCTCCAGATGATACTGAACAATGCAACAATGTTTTGTGGGTATTTTGCTGCATTCGGACAGTCTCTAAAGGATCGCACCAGTGTTTTATCACACTTATTCTACATATTTTAGCTCTTGCACTTCAAATCAATATGTATTTTATATCACCAAACAGTGCCGCTGTGTTTCAAGAAAGTTGAATGTATGTCTCTACTGTTCCAGGATATTCATTTGTTTCCATTCAGTTCTTGTTCCATGTTTAAAAGATTCTGTTGATTTTTAACACTGAATGGAAATGAATGGGAAGTAATGACTAGCTGGAATAACAGATGCAAATATCTACGACCGTAAAGCAAGTACTCAAGAAAAGATTTGAAGTTGAGGAGCTAAAACTTGCAAACACACTGGTGTAGTTCTTTAAAGCATGAAGGTGGAAAATGGAAAATCTGCTGCACTGCATGAAATTAAAGACAAATCCGAAGCTCTGGGGTTTTTCAGAAACGTACTGAGCCAAAGTTCATCTTTGTTTTTTGTTTTTTTGTTTTTTTAAACACAATCACCAGCTGGATGATTCTGCTGGACGCTGCGTCACGTTCGGTGCCAAAGATTTCTAAAATTTTTGCTTTTTGCAAGATCTTTAAATGGGAAAGATCAGACTTATGGCAAATACTGTTTGGCTAAGGTTTGGTTAGGGTTAGGCAACGCTAACACTTGGGTAACATTAGAGAAACACCATGGTAACGGTAGGGCTGGGTACCATTCAGAAGTTTGTGATGTCAGTACTGATACTGATACCTTGACTCCAGCACTGATTCTTAATGAGGCACTTTTTTCAACCAATTTAATCAAATCCAGAAAAAAAGAAAAGAAAAATTACAACACACATTATGGAACAATTTTTAGTTTCACCTGAGTTTTATTGTGGCATCATGGCAGCGGTCAGTGTAGTCTGATTCTGATTCTTAAGTTCAGTCTCTTTACACACTCAAAACGTGTTTGTGTAAATGAACAGCCAATCACCAGCATCATTAGATCTTAGTCCAAGCACGCTGCATTTCTATTGGCTCCCTGACGCTGATAAGATTCATTCATTTACTCCTTAGGTATTGAAATTTTGTATTTGAACATTTTATCAAACCAATTTGGTCGAGGTTCGATACCTTACCCCAGGTAACAGGTAAAATGTGAACATTAATCGCAGGTCCAACTACAGGAAAGTCAGAAGCACTACGTACCCATGACCCAACGTTCACCCTCCACCTCGCCACATAAAGGACACACTACTTCCAAAACTGGCACCAAACATTGGCACCGGACGTAACGTGTGAGGTGCAGAATCGTCCAAAAATGGACACAGTTTCTTGGGCTGGTTTTCTTTTGTTACTGATTTTTTAGCAAAGATGAATGTCGTCTCTGAGGAAATCCAGGTCTTGTGGTTTGGTCAGAATTTGCCACAGAGGCTATGAAATAATTGAGAGCAAAGTTTTCCACCAGTCTGCAGTGTCAAAGTTGCTACTGGACAGGAAATATGAAACCTGTCGTTGTGGTTCTAACTGTACTTTCTACCCCCACCCCTCCACCTCCACCCCTCCCCGGGTAGGATGATCCTAATTCCCAGAACAAGCTGGAGGACCCGGTGAAGGCCTCGCCCAAGGAGGACGACTCCCTCAACATCCACAACTCTCTGACCCCCAAACACGAGAACCACAAGGTCCTGGGCGAGGAGAACTCCTCGGAGGTAAACTCACTGCAGAACAACATGATGTGAAAACAAAAAACAACACAACCCCAGCAACCTGACAACACCACACCGAAAACGTCAAGGTGCGCCGGCAACGGGAGTCCCCCTCCACCCCCCCCCAAAAAAACCCCCCCTCCCTGCTCTCTCTCCAACCCGCTGCCGAGTGCGCCTAACCGGTCAACCAACCGACCAACCAACCAACCGACCAGCCTGTCAACGTACCAGCCAATCAACCCAGTCTGCAACCGTCTCTGACACGGCAACACTGCCACCAAGCGGCCCGGGCCGCTGCAAAAAAAAACTTACACCACCACCACCACCGCCGCCGCCACTGCCCAAGCTGAGAGTAACCCCGCCAGCCCTCACCCCTGCCGCCGCCTTGCAACAAACCCCCCCCCTCCCCCTTACATCCACTCACTCCCCTGTTTCGCAGCCCCGCCCCCCTTGTTGCTGTCACTCTACTCTCCCTTATCTCCCTTACCTGCACACACACACACACACACACACACACACACAGATACATACACATAGTGAACATACACACACAGTGAAAAGATGAAAACATAAACACACTTATATGTAAACACACACACACACACACACACACACACACCTTCCCCTGCCTGCATTGGTGTATTTTGTAAAAAGAAAGAAATCATACAGAAGTTTAAAACGTACGTAAAACGTCATTGTAAAAAAAAACAAAAAAAAAAAAACATTAAGATAAAGCTACTGAGAGGTTTTGATGTTTGTCTGACTAATCCAGTGAGTATGTATAAATATTGGGAAAAAAAATTGCTTGGATTGATTTAAAAAGAAGAAACACAATGTGTCTTGGTTTTCATTGATGTGATTTCTAATCCTTTGATGTACTTGTTTTTTTTGTTTTTTCTTTTTTTTTTTGTTTTTTTTTTCTTTTTTTTTGTACTTTTTTGGGACTTCGAACCGAGAACAAACAAACAAGATTCAGACAGTTGTTGAAATAAACCTTTTTAACATGACCTCTGTGGATCCTGTGTTTTCCTCAGCGTAGCATCCCCCTCCCCACAACCTTTTTAAACCCCCCCCCCGAACTCTGATGCTCTCTGCATGGCTTTGAACGCAGCTTTTTGGATCCCTGTCATACATGTGCCTCCCTGCTTACACACACACACACACACACACACACACACACACACACACACACACACACACACACACACACACACACACACACACAGAGATTATTTTGAGAATACATACAATCATGGTGTGCCTGTCACAAGGTGATGCGTATATGCTGAGCTGTACAATTCATTCTTGACCTTCAAAATAACAAAGGGTCCACTTAGCTGGCCTTTCCAGAGCTTTCAGCCACATCTCATGGCCTTCGTCTGCAGATGGATTTCGCTCGGTTGTCATGGAGACGGTTTAGCTCTTATCAAATGACCAGAATTCCGCACTTGGGTCAGATGATAAGAGCTAAACCATCTCCGTGACAACTGAGGTGATTCAGTCTGCGGATGAAGGCCAAGAAATGTGGCTGTAAGCTCTGGTATAACCAAACAAGTGGAGCTTGTGATAAGATTTATTTGTCAATATATATATATATATATATATATATATTAGTCTAAATTGACCCATCATCTGAAATGCAAAAAATCAGTGTGTAACTGTCCCGGGACCCCAGAACCCCAGATGTGCTGTGTGTCAACTGTTTAGCACTGCATCAAACGACATGATAAAAGTGGATCCTGGTTTATCATCTAATCTTGAGACCTTGTCTTGAAGAGGTTCGTTGTGTCAAAGTCTAGTTTAAAGATGTTTCAGTATTTCAGTTTGTTGCACATTCCTCAATATATCACACGGCAAACTGGGTGGCCGGGTGTTACTGTGGAAAATCTGTACACATGTATACATGTACACATACAGAGAGTAGGAGGGGCACGGTGGTTAATGTGGGGGGGGGCCCCCCTTGGAAGTTAATCAGCCCGACCTGGGGGTGAGAAAACTCCCATAACTCCTGGGTTTATGAAAGCAAAACATCCATGACAAACAAAATTACAAATTCATGCAAACTTTCAATACAGAAATACGTCTCATATTACATTGATGTTAGCTGCGCAGCAACCCAATAGATAGATAGATAGATTGATAGATAGATAGATAGATAGATTGATAGATAGATAGATAGATAGAACAGTTGACTGTTGACAGTTGGACTACTGTTTGAAAAATTATCTTTGCAGCTCATAAATCATGACAGCAAACACCAGGACCCGCTCTGCTGCTTCTGCATGTTTCCTGCCTCCAGAGACACTTACCCTGTTTCCAGCTGGACACACACACACACACACACACACAAACACACACAGATGCAGAAATGCTCACAAATGCAAATAACTAACACTTACGGAGGTACATACACTAAATGAACTGTGTGAGATGAAAAACACATCCGCTGTAGGCAAAGACTCAAGTACATGCACGGACAAAAAAAAAAGTTTAGTTGCAAAAATCCTCATGGTACAAAGAAAAAAAACTTTTCAGGGTGAACTTGTTGGTTGAAAATGGATTGGTGAAATCCTTTATTGATGTTTTACAGACACCAGATTAACAATTTCAATTACTTTTTCCACATGGACATATAAAAATGAACTCCTCATATTCATCCTCGCGTACCTTCACACACACACACACACACACACACACCTCCCACACATATTTCAGCGCTGCTCTATAGAACGTTTTGTTCCATTCAGGGGGTTGAACTGGCACAATGGAGCGCACACACACATATATGCACACTTACATTCATACATGCACAAAGCATCTGTCAGCTTCCCATGCTCACTCCCACTCTCTCTCTCTCACACACACACACACACACACACACACACATTTTCACTTCCATACTTGTGAGGACCCGAACTAACGTAATGCATTTACTAGCTTACTAAACCCAACAGTAAATTTAAGTCAAGTCACAAGTCTTCATAAGAAAGCAAGTTTTTCAAGAGTAGTCTCTATTCAAGTCTCAAGTCGTTAAAGAAGAGTCTAAAGTCTGGAGTCGTTTAAGACCAATTTAAGTCTCAAGTAATTTGAATCATGTTGAAGTTTCAAGGCATTCGAGATAAGACGGGTCACAACTCCTGGAGAGGTTCAAGTCTCGTCTTGAGTAATTTAAGACATTTAGGTAAGTCGTAAGTCACGTGAGAATTTGAGACGAATCTCAAGTTATTTGAGATCGAGGGTTGAGACGATGATAAGTTTGTGTGTCTTTTGAGATGAGTTCAAGTCAAATCTCAAGTTATCCGAGACAAGACTATGTCGAGTCTCAGGTTTAGTCGCAAGTGTTTTGACAGAAGTCAAAGTCGACAAGTCTCATGTCACATGAAACACATCTCAACTTCTGTTGAGGTTTCAAGTCATTAGAGATTAGCTCCGGCGACATCTCGACACATTTGAGAAGAGGTCATGGAGTATTACATCACAAGGTCAAGTCCTGTCACATTTCTTCATAAGCAAATAGCAATTCAACATCCAAGTCTTACAGGTCTTTGAAGGCTGACTATAAACCTTTTGCAGCAGTTGATCACTTTTCAGCACACAGCGTCCTTTTTAAAGCGCTACCCCTAATAATTAAATATGCAAGACCGGCCTGTGTCAAGTCCTTAGGGAGTCAGGCCTCTAGTAGGTCAAGTCTGTGTAAAGTCTTAAGACCAGTCAGGTCCAAGTCTCAAGTCAACAGCTTTGATTGCAACAGGTCCTAACTCTTGTGTGTAAAGGCTGACTGGACAAAATGTTTTCTCTTTCAAAAATCTCCTCACTCTACAGAGTATAAAACTCAGTTTGGTTCCCACAAGGACAGAAGTACGACAACAACACACACACACACACACACACTTTCACCCATGTGATAAACAGCCCTGAATGGGTCTCAGATGAGGCCACACCACCGCCGGCCCTTTGTCGGGTTTCTCCATTGGATCCTGAGAAGGCAGTGGGTTAAACAGCGGTATTGTGGGGGGATCCTTCCCAGGGTGGAGGGCTGCTGATGGGTGGTGGGTCGGGTGGGGGAAGGTCTTGGTGCCCTTCTCTTTCTTCAAATAAATAAAGAGGGGGTGGGGGCAAGGGAGCATTTCAGCCCCCAGAAGGTAGAAGAAAAGACTTTTTTAAACCCAGAGTAGGAAACAGCACTTGGCGAGCTACAAAAACAGCAGCAGTGATTATCGCCCTCTTTTATTCTTGTCAGCCTGTCACACACACACACACACACACACACACACACACACACACACACACACACAAAGACACACACTGTGTTGGCGCATGCAGTAGCACATGACTGCACATACACACACACACACACAGCAAACGACGGTCCTATGAACTGAAGCGAGCGAAGCCAGAAGTACCAGCCGACGCCATGGCAACAAGTGGGCATTACATTACCAACAGAGAGAGAGATGAAGCAGAGTGGGGGAGGTGCCGTCATCCCTCTGAGAGTAACAGTGACAGACTGAACCTTTATGTGCCGGCTTAAAAAAGTAAAGCAAGTGTCTTCAATGTACGTCCACCAGAAAGCTTTTTAAAGCAATAATCAATTCTTACAAATACTCAGCGATCAATCAGAAAGTGTAACGCCTAAGTGGAAATCAAACAATAATTCTCTAAAATTAGCTCTTTCCATATTATCATGAACATAAGATGATGTAATTGAGTTTTTATAATCCATTAAATTACAAATATATATTTTATATAATGAATTGATATAATAATTTCGTAATTACATATCTATTTATTTGATATTGAACACTTTGGGACTCTGTAACCAGACACCAAAGTCTGCAGCAACAAATGGAAAATGATATTTTTCTTCACACTATTTATTCAGAGTAAAATAAAAATAAAAAAATACAACATTGTGGCATCAATACAGTTTTGTGCAAACAAATTAGAAAAATTAAATGTAAGTAAAAAAACTTCAAGTTCAGATGGAAATAAGACTTGTTGCCAGTGGCACAGAACTTCAGGACAGTATCTAAAGCTGTTCCATATTTTTCCCACTGTAAAATTATGTAATATGAAAATGCTGAGTTGTACAAGTTGTTCGGTGCTTTCTAGGGATTAGTTA